CCAGTGTAGTAGCCACGGTCGTCCGCAGGCCACGAAGTGAAGTGTCCGAACGTCATAGGGCGGGAAGCTGGGTGTGGGTGGTGGCGAAGAGTCGTGTGGATATTTGGTAGAGCTTGCACTGCCCCCCCACAAAGTGGGGGTATTGGCTGGCGTCGCATGAAAACCCTGGCACTGGTGAGAACACTGAGCGTTCGGGTAAAGTGATTGTTGTTGTTGGTGTTGTTGTTGTTGTTGGTGTTGTTGGTGTTGGTGCTGTTGTTGTCGTCGTCGTCGTCGTCGTCGTCGTCGTTGTTGTTGTTGTTGTTGTTGTTGTTGTTGTTGTTGTTGTTGTTGTTGTTGAATTCTCATTTCTGAATAATTCTTGTTGATCCCCCCCACCGGTGCATATTGTCTTTTCTCAATCAAAGTGTGCCCCTCGACGCTCGCACCCGGTTTTTTGACAGGGAAAGTCTTCCTGCTCAAACTGGGCCCCTGGCCCCCAGGTTACAACAACAACGGCTCCCGCCTGAGACTTCCTTACAATTCAGGCAGGACCCCCGCTCCCGCCCGAGACTTCCTTGCATTTTATTCAGGAGTCGCGCTCTCGCTTGGGACGTCCTTACAATTTATTCAGGAATCGCTCTCCAGGCGCTCTGGAGTCGCGCTCTCGCTGGAGACTTGCTTGCAACTTACTGAAGAATGGCCTTGCGTTGGAATTTCCTGCAATTTGCCCAAGCGCCGCGCTCCCGACACCCAGGCACCCAGGAGTCGCGCCCGTTGTGGCCTCATGTGCATGCCCTTCGTGGCCCCGCTGTCGCCATTTGTGTCCCCCTCACTGTCCTACGTGGCCCAGTTGCTACCCTCAGTGGCCCCATAGTTGCCTTCTGTGGCCCCGCATTATCTGCACTTCGTGGCCCCCGCTCGTTCGCGCTCTTTGTGGCCTCATACGCATTCCCTTCGTGTCCCCGCTGTCGCCCTTCGTGGCCTACTTCGTGCCCTTCGTGGCCCTGCTGTCGTTTTCGCTCGCTCTCGCTTTCGCTCGTCGTCGCCGTCGTCGTCGTCGCCGTCGTCTTCGACGTCGTTGCTGTCGTCGTCGTCGTCGTCGTCGTCGTCGTCGTCGTCGTCGTCGTCGTCGTCGTCGTCGTGGTCGGTCCTGTGTCCGTTCCTTTTTGGGGTCGGGTCGACGGTCCGCGGCCGCCCCGCCGATCAGCGCTGCCGCTGGCCAGGCCGACGGTCCGCGGCCGCCCCGCCGCTTGCCGGGGCCCGGCCTGCAGGGAAGAAAAGTATACCCCCCAAAAGGGGTTCGATCGAAGACGAAGAGGGCGGGTATCGAGGGTTTTGGAAATACGCGTTCTTGGACACTCGAGCATATAAGGGCGAACAGTCTTAACGTTGTTGTTGTTGTTGTTGTTGTTGTTGTTGTTGTTGTTGTTGTTGTTGTTGTTGTTGTTGTTGTTGTTGAACATTATTTCTTCTTAAGAATAATTATTGTTGGGACCCCTGGTGCGCGACCCCCCCGCCGCGCCTAGGCCGCAGCCACATTTTCATCATTTTCGTGAGGAAGTCTCAGGCAAAACGATTGGTACCGGATCCGGTTTTTTGTTGACGCTCGTTTTCCCTTGCAAAAAACAATAGAAAATGAAAATTCTTGTTCTTAGTTGATCAAATTGCAAGAATCCCTTGCAAAAAATAAGGTAAAGTGGACATTCGTGCGCGCAAGACGAAATCCTTCCAAAACCTTAGGTTTCGTAGCGATTTTAACATAAAAACATCAAAAACCCAATGGTTTTTTTAAGAAAAAATTGTCAAAATGTCCTTCCGCGCGCGCTGTCCGAATCCCACAAAACCAATGGTTTTTCAACATTTATGTTACATGAGCTCGCGCGAGCTACTTTTTCTTGTTCTAACATAATCAAATTTCAATAATCCCTTGCAAAAAATAAGGTAAAGTGGACATTCGCGCGCGCAAGACGAAATCCTTCCAGAACCTTAGGTTTCGTAACGATTTCAACATAAAAACATCAAAAAGCCAATGGTTTTTCAAAAAAAAATGTCCAAATTTCATCCCGCGCGCGCTGTCCGACTCCCACAAAACCAATGGTTTTTCAACATTTATGTTACATAAGCTCGCGCGAGCTACTTTTTCTTGTTCTTACATAATCAAATTTCAACATCCCTTGCAAAAAAAAGTAAAGTGGACATTCGCGCGCGCAAGACCAACAAAAAACACGACGATCTCAGGAACTTGCCCCAAAAATGTGACCAACTCCGCTCTCTCTGTCTCTCTCTCTGTCTGCTCTCTGTCTCTCTCTCTGTCTGTCTGTGTCATGTATTGTATGTCACAATTGCAGGATGCTGGGCACACGCGCGCCCCGAATAAGTGACCAAGTTCTGTGGGTGTGTACCCCACGCCAGTGTAGTAGCCACGGTCGTCCGCACGCCACGAAGTGAAGTGTCCCAACGTCATAGGGCGGGAAGCTGGGTTTGGGTGGTCGCGAAGAGTCGTTTGGATATTTGGTAGAGCTTGAACTGCCCCCCCACGAAGTGGGGGTATTGTCTCGCGTCGCATGAAAACCCTGGCACTGGTGAGAACACTGAGCGTTCGGGTAAAATGATTGTTGTTGTTGTTGTTGTTGTTGTTGTTGTTGTTGTTGTTGTTGTTGTTGTTGTTGTTGTTGTTGTTGTTGTTGTTGTTGTTGTTGTTGTTGTTGTTGCTGCTGCTGCTGCTGCTGCTGCTGCTGCTGCTGCTGCTGCTCTTGCTGCTGCTGCTGCTGCTGCTGCTGCTGCTGTTGTTGTTGTTGTTGTTGTTGTTGTTGTTGTTGTTGTTGTTGTTGCCGTTTTGCTACTTTCGTCCTCTGGGGGCCCCCACTGGGCCTCGCGACCGTCAGAAAATGATTCAGGACGAAAATCAGGTCCCCAGGAAGGGGTCGAGACTTTTGGGGTATCGGCGCTGTGAAACACTCACGACGTCGGGGGTCCGGGTGCGATTCTCGGGCCGCGCGTCGCGAGCGGCGCGCGTCCCACGCGCCCCGCGCCCGAGGGCCCATCGGCCTTCCCCCCCCCTCTTGTCCCCGACGGCTTGGGTTAAGTCGGGCGTGTCCCTCTACAGGGGCAAACGATGGTCTGGGAGTATGTTTTGAGTATTTCTGATTTTTCCTTCAAAATACTTGTGTGGTAAGGCTTGGGTGTTCGACGTCTTCAGCGTATGGGGGATTGGTGGCTTGCCCTCGTTGCCACGTCAGGTCATACCGCACCCCCGACGTCGTGATTTTTCGGGACCTGGACCCCTGAAGGTCTTCGACTGCACTGTAAGGGTGACCCTTCGCCAGAATGACCTTTGGTGCGGCCTCATTTGGGTCCCACGATCGCCGAACCCGATGCGATGGTGGCGTCTTGTGAGCTCGTGTGTGGCCCCCCCCCCCTCCCCCCCCTCCCCCCGCGTTCCCCTTCAAGCCGCGTGCAAGAGGACACTCTTGCCTAGGGTTAAGTCGGGCACGTCCCTCTACAAGAGGAACATTCAAACATGGTCAAACAATTGCCTGGTATTTTTGACTATTTCTAATTTTCCGTTCAAAATCAGCCTGTAGGGGGACATACCCGACCTAAGCCTTTGGTCACTCTTGCGTGCAGCCGAGGTCTCAACCTACTTTCGCCTTGATCGCCAGGAAGAATTTCGAGCACCACGAATGTACAGAAACTGGCGGGTTTTCACGTGTCGAGCCCTGGGAGGCGATACTCGTTCGACACTGTTTCGATACTTTTCTCAGGTGCTCGAAATTATGTCTGGGATGTGGACCTTGAGTACGATGGGAGCAACATAAACCAAAGGACACTCTGACCTAGGGCCACTCTTGCGTGTAGCCGAGGTCTCGACCCCCATCCCCCAGGAACGGCGTTCCCTCCCGAGCCGCTTCCTCCCGGCCGCCCTCTGGGGGATCCTGGCAAGCGAGGGGGATCCCCCAGAGTCGGGGGCGGCAAAAAGGGGGGTGATGACTTGGGGGCGGGGAGTGGATATCATGGCGTGGACCATGATACCTCCCTAGATTTAATGGTGCCTCTTCTTACTTCATTGCATCCCTGGCCCCCCCACTTGCCGCCAGCCATGAGGCCATGATTTGTGCCCCCCTCCTCCTCCTCGTCCTCCTCGTCCTCCTCGTCCTCCTCCTCCTCCCCCTCCCTGCTTCTCCTCCTCCTCCTCCTCCTCCTCCTCCTCCCTCCTCCTCCTCCTCCTCCTCCTCCTCCTCCTCCTCCTCCTCCTCCTCCTCCTCCTCCTCCTCCTCCCTCTTTGACGCCTCCTTCTTGGCCCCCCCGACAGAGGCCAAGCACGGGCGAGCGCCCCCCACCACGGCGTTTTCCCACCGCGCGAGCTGCAGCACGTCACGTCTGGGCCGACGTCCCCCCCGAAAAAGTCTTTCCCCCCCCCCTCCCGCCCTCCCTCGTGCATCGGCGGCGAGCGACGGGGGGAAGTTTCGGGTTCGAGGTTCGAGGTTTGCGGGCGGTTTTCTTCGGTTCTCGACGGTTTTCCCGCCCCAGGATGCTTGCCAGCAGCTGCGCCCCGCCGCTGGCGTTCTGGGGGTGCCTGGATCGATCCGAATGCCCGCCGGGGACCCGAGTTATGACCCCCAAACCACATTCGGCGGCGAGGGAGGGGGGGAAGTGAGAGGGAGATTGCCTTCTCAGAAGGCGGCGGGACTTCTCAGGAGCCCTCGCGGGTTTCGGAGAAGTGCTTATTCTGTGCCTTCGGAGAAAGCTCAGAACACTTCTCGGCAGGTCCGAGGCCTTCCGAGCCTTCTGAGAAGGCCTGCCCCTTCTCACCTTGAGCGACGCGGGAACACGGGTTCGATTCCGCCGACGCTGGCGCGCAAGCTGCTCGCGTAGGGTCGTGCGCAGGCGCCCTCGCCCCCACTGGCTTGCCGCGCGGGCGGCCTGCGAAAACCACCGCGTAGGGTCGCTGTGTCATCTCGCGCAAGACCTGCTTTAATTCGTCGCTCACCTCCCCCCGGGCTCGCCGCCGATCGCAGGAGCCTCGTTCGGCCGGGGCTCCCGACGCCCACCTCCGGCGTGCTGCGGCCGGGCGCCTCCCCGCTGGCCCTGGACCGCATGAGCCTGGGGAGCGCGGCGCCCGCCCGCAGCCTGGCGCGCTCAGGCCCGCACCGGGCGGGGCCAGGACAGGGATCATCGTTTCCAAGACGTTCGCGCGTCCTGGAGAATCGAGTAGGGGATCGACTACAGAATTGATCTACTCTAAACTCGTTTTTCTGGCGATGCGTGGACTGCTCCGTAGATCTAGAGAGCATTCTACGTGCTTCCCGTGGATTCGACGGACAATCATTTTTGGGGAAATCAATTCTGTAGATGATCCCCTGCTCGAAAAAAGCGGGACGGAGCTTTTTCTCAGCCTTCGGTCTTTGGGAGCCCTCACCGGGCCACGGGGCCGTAAAAAAACGGCTCGGGAGGAAAAGCCAGTCTCGGTGAAAGGGTCGGGACTTCGGGGAGACCGTACCGAAGAAATCAGGACATCGCCTGTCTGGGGATGAATCGTTCTGGAGCGCTCCCGAACGCTCTCAGAGCGTTCCAAAGCGCTCTGAAACGGCCGCGGCGCCCGATACATCCTACACAACCGCCAGATCTCAGAGATCCCCCGTTTATCCTGGTCCGATTTGGTCCCTGTCCTGGCTTCGGACTGGAGGGCAGGATCTGCCCCCCCCCCCCCCCCCCCTCTTCCCCCCTCGCGCCCTCCCTCGAGATCCGGGTGTTGCATTTTTTTCACGGCAGGGCGTCTTCGCCCAGTTTCGGGCTTTAGGACCTTCACAGATCTGTGCGGCTCGAGAAGTTCACGGGAAAGATGAGGTCTGGGGCTCCAGTCGCGATTCCTCATGATGTTTTTCAGGCGGCGAAACAACACACAGACACATGTTATCGTCGATTCCCAGTAAAGTAGAGAAACAAGGGGGAAGGGGGGGGCAAGTCGAAACTCCAGAAAAATTTGTAAAAAAATAGGGGATCCTGGGATTGATGTCTATTTGTTTGTGTGTCCCTGGGTCCCTTCAGTTTTTTTGTTGCGACGTCGGATCTCGAGGTGGTGCTCCCCCACCCGCCCTCCCCTCCCCTTCCTTGTGTGGTCCTCCAGTGGGAGCCTCGGAGGGTCACGAAATTCCTCGCGATTGTGGGGATTCCGTCTGGACTTCTCGGCGGACGTGGTCGACATTTGCAGGAAATTTGGAGGGAGTCTTGAGAAAATCTGGACGGATGGGGTCTTCTCACCTCCCCTCCCTTGTGTCAACCTTTCGGGCCCCCTCGCGCCCCCTCGCGAGGGGTTCGACGTCTCATCGTCGTCCTCGTCGTCGTCCTCGTCGTCCCCTGAGATTCGACGCCGCGAAAAAAGTGCAGCCTCGTAAAAGTCACGCCCAGAGACCTAGACCCTACCCTTCTGCATCATTTTTCGAGCCAGATCGATCTGTGAGGGTCCGGGGGCCCGAAAAGAGGCGAAAACGCCCGGCTCGAAAACTTTGAGACGCCAGGATCTCAGGGTCGTCCTCGTCGTTCTCCCCGCCCTCCCCGTCCTTCATCCCCTCCGCTGCCCTCCCCTCCCGGGGCTCCCGCTCTCTGGCTGCTGCCTCTGCTCCGAGGGGCAGGGACAGGGGCAGGGCGCACGTGTGCTCACGGGGCCTCTCGACGACGACGACGACAAGGATCCTTCTCCTCCTCCTCCTCCTCCTCCTCCTTTCGACCTCCGCGCAGGGCCCGCGCCGCCGCCGTACGGCATGTCGACGCCGGGCCCCCCGCTGCCGGTGCCGGACCACGTGCGCTCTGGCAGCGCCACGCCTCTGCGGAGCCACGCGCGGTCGGGCTCGCCCTCGCCCGCGTACGGCGTCAGCTGCCCCGGCTCGCCGTTGCTGGCGCCGGACAGCGTCAGCATCGGCTCGTGCTCGCTGCTGCGGAGCGCTGCCAGGACGGTCCCCAAGACGTGCTCGCGCCGTGAAAGAAATAGCGACGGGAGGTTTTTGGCCGTTTTCGGCGTCTGATGGCCCTAGGCCCCAGAATCGTGAAAAAACGACGTGGGATGAAAAACCCGCCGTGGGGAAAGGGTCAGAACTTCCGTGGACCCCGTACTGAAGAAATCGAGACGTCGAATGTTCTGGTCTCCGATGTGGTATCACCCGTGTCGTGTTCATAACGCCGACTGCGCATATTTTTTTGCAACCCGTGCCAGGGGCTTGGGGTGCCGAGTTCCAAGCGCGGCGGGGGGCGCCCCACCAGAACACCGGTTTCGGCCTCGATCCGTGCCTTGCTTGTGGGGCGGGGCGAGGCTGCGCTGTGCGGGCGAGAGGACCACTGGCCCGAGCCAGGATCTCCCTTTCCTGCCGGGGACGGTGCCCAGAGGGCTGTCCCGCAGCAGTCCCGTTCTTGTTGCGTGGTTGCTCCGTGCGGTTGTCCCGTTCGGTCTGTCCCTTTCTGTGGCCGCCACGAGCAGCTGTTCCGCGGTCAACTGCCATTTTTCAATATGCGCAGGTTTGCCCTTACATGATAGATCGCACCGGTGCAATCCAGCCGAGGCCCCAGGCTATAGCTGGGTCCGTTCATTGCTTATGCTGGCGTGGTTGTCATCGTAGAATCACAGTCCAGATATGGATATATCTTTTTGTGTGTGTGTGTGCGTATATGTGTGTATACGTGTATGTATGCAAAGGCACAGACATGTACCTGCACGCGCACAAGCGTATCCATGCATGTTTGTATACGTGTATTTATGAACACATACACACACGGGCCCCCTCTTGGGGCGTCCACCTCGATTACATGTGGATTACGCTCCCGGTACCGCGCTTCCCGGCCTCCCGGGGAGCCCCCACAACGCCTAAAGACAGTCCAATACGACCCCAAGAAGCCCCCATAACGTCAAAGAACAGCCCAAGACGCTCCCAAGCAACCCAGGATAGCTTTCGTCCAAGAGACCTCAAGAGAGAGGCTCCGGGGCTACCTGGAGCCATCTCGGAAGCGTTCTTGGAAGCCTCCGTGGCTACTTGGAGACGTCTTGGCGCGATCTTCGAGCCTCTAGTAGGCTTCTTGGGAGCGATCTGGAGCCATCGAGGGCTACATGAGCGATCTTGGAGGTCATCTTCAGGGGGGGGGGGCGGCGTATCTCACCCGGGACCTCCCCCGGGCGCTCCCCCGGGTGCCCCGGGTCCCCGCCGGGTGCTCCCCCAGGTCCTCCCCCGGGACCTTCCCCGGGACACCCCCCCCGCGCCGGGGAAGGGATCAAAGGAAAGGGGCTTCCCTTCGACTCAATGATGACGTTGCTCAATTTCGGTTTGGACCGAGACGCTTGAGGAGGAGGCCCCAGAAAAGGAGAAGACGCTATGCGAAAATGGAAAAGACGAGACGACGACGAAGAGGAAGCAGACGGAGAACAGGGTTGGCGGATTTGTTTCATGGTTTTTGGCCTTTTCACCATTTCATGTTTCCAACGCTTCAACACGGGCGAAGAGGCCCCCAAGACCGCCCTGAGGGGCTCCCAAGAGGCTTCCAAGACAGCCCCAAGACTGCCGAAGAGGCGCCCAGGACAGCTCCAGACAACTCCAGAACAGGCCCAAGATGAGCCCAAGAGCGGGACCAGGAGGCCTCCAGAGACCTCCGAGAGGAGACCCCCCAGAGGCCTCCAACACACCCCAGACCCTTGAGAGGCCAACAAAAAGGCCCCGACGAGGCTCCCCAAACAGCCCCAGAGCTTCGAGAGCCGTCCCGAGAGAGCCCGAAACGGGCATAATCGTTGATTTCCAATGGTTTTGGTCGACGTTTTTCGCCTTCTCACGTTTTCCCGCTTCCAGCGCTCAATGACCAAGGAACTTGAACAAAAAGGGAATTCCAGGGATTCCTTCTGTTTCAAGTTCAACAAATACGCCCCCCTCCCGGAACATCTGCGGAACGCTGCCGGTATTGCGCTTCCCGACTTCCCGGAGAGCCCCCAAAACGCACAAGGATAGCCCAAGACGACCACAAGAAGCACCCATAACATAAAAGAACGGCCCAAGACGCTCCCAAGCAACCCAGGATAGCTTTCGGGTGGCTCTGCAGGCTCCCAGGAGGCCTCCGAGAGACCTCAAGAGAGCTCCGAGAGGCCTCCCGAGAGCGCCCAGAGAACCTAAAATCGTTAGTTTGCATTATTTGTTTCATGGTTTTTTGCTTGCTCACCATGTCATGTTTCCAACGCTCCAACACGGCCGAAGAGGCCTCCAAGACCGCCCCAAGAGGCTCCCAAGAGGCTTCCAAGACGGTTCCAAGACGGGCCAAGACGGCCCCAAGAATGCCGAAGAGGCGCCCAGGACAGCTCCAGACCACGCCAGAACAGGCCCAAGATGAGCCCCAAGAGCGGGACCAGGAGGCCTCCAGAGACCTCCGAGAGTCCCGAGAGAGCCCGAAGAGGGTAAATTTGTGGATTTCCAGTGGTTTTGGTTGACTTGTTTCGCCTTCTCACGTTTCCCCGCTTCCAACGCTCAACGACCGATGAACTTGAAATTAGCCTGGCGAGAACCCAACCATATGCAGTTGTGAGCACCGTCGTTGTATGCGCCGCATTCGAAGGAGCTCCCTATAGGGCCACGAAACGTGTAAGGGGTTGCCAAAGTTTGTCCGGTGGGCGCATGCGAAAGCAGCCACTGGGGCCGTTGGTGGAATTCCTTGTGGTGCCACGAAACGCGTGAGAGGTGTGCCGAAATAGGTGCGGTGGGCGCATGCGAACACAGCCACTTGGGCCGTCGGTGGAGCTCCCTGTGGGGCCACGAACCGTGTGACGGGTGTGCCACAATGGGTGCGGTGGGCGCATGCGAACGCAGCCATTGGCGCCTTCGGTGGAGCTCCCTGTGGGGCCACGAAGCGCGTGAGGGGTGTGCCGGAATGGGCGTGGGTTTTTGGGACGCATGCGGGCGGTCCTCACTGGGGGCTTCGGTGGAGCTCCCTACGGTGCCACGAAACGTGTGAGCGGTGTGCCAAATTGCTTTTTCGGGACGCATGCGGGCGGTAGCACTGGGACCTTCGGTGGAGCTCCCTATGGGGCCACGAAGCGCTCTACTGGGTGGGTGAAACGCAGTGAGCAGGGGGAGGAGGGAGGAGGGGAAGGAGGAGGGAGGAAGGAGGGAGGAGGGACACGGGGACCGTCTCTTCAAAACGAGGACCCAACACCACAGGATGGTTGGGAAAAAAGGAATTCCAGATATTCCTTTTACCTAACATCGAAGACTGATAGGTTTCTAATAGGCTAACAAGAGAGCAGCACATTACTCCACAGGGGGGTCTGGGCAGCCGTTGGGGGGCCGTTGGGGTTTGCCGGGGGGGATCGTTTTTCGCATACAGTCACACACTTCGTGCTCTTCGACCTCCCAGAACTCCATTCCCGGGCCACATTCTGAATGCCCGGAGCCAACTGTAGGCCACTTCGTGCTCTTCGACTTCCCAGAACTCCATTCCCGGGCCACATTTTGGATGCCCGGAGCCAACTGTAGGCCACTTCGTGCTCTTCGAGTTCCCAGAACTCCATTCCCGGGCCACATTTTGGATGCCCGGAGCCAACTGTAGGCCACTTCGTGCTCTTCGAGTTCCCAGAACTCCATTCCCGGGCCACATTTTGAATGCCCGGAGCCAACTGTAGGCCACTTCGTGATCTTCGAGTTCCCAGAATTCCATTCCTGGGCATGATTTTGAATGCCCGGAGCCAACTGTAGGCCACTTCGTGTTCTTCGAGTTCCCAGAACTCCATTCCCGGGCCACATTTTGAATGCTGAGGCAGGCTGAGGCTGAGGCTGAGGCAGGCTGAGGCTGAGGCAGGCTGAGGCTGAGGCAGGCTGAGGCTGAGGCTGAGGCTGAGGCTGAGGCTGAGGCAGGCTGATGCTGAGGCAGGCTGAGGCTGAGGCTGAGGCTGAGGCTGCAGGCTGAGGCTGAGGCAGGCTGAGGCTGAGGCTGAGGCCAAGGCTCAAGGCAGACTGAGGCTTTGGCTGGCTGAGGCTGAGGCTGAGGCTGAGGCTGAGGCTGAGGCTGAGGCTGAGGCAGGCTGAGGCTGAGGCTGAGGCAGGCTGATGCTGAGGCAGGCTGAGGCTGAGGCTGAGGCTGATGCAGGCTGAGGCTGAGGCAGGCTGAGGCTGAGGCCGAGGCTGAAGGCAGACTGAGGCTGAGGCTGAAGCAGGCTGAGGCTGAGGCTGAGGCAGGCTGAGGCTGAGGCTGAGGCAGGCTGATGCTGAGGCAGGCTGAGGCTGAGGCTGAGGCTGATGCAGGCTGAGGCTGAGGCAGGCTGAGGCTGAGGCCGAGGCTGAAGGCAGACTGAGGCTGAGGCTGAAGCAGGCTGAGGCTGAGGCTGAGGCAGGCTGAGGCTGAGGCTGAGGCAGGCTGATGCTGAGGCAGGCTGAGGCTGAGGCTGAGGCTGAGGCTGATGCAGGCTGAGGCTGAGGCAGGCTGAGGCTGAGGCCGAGGCTGAAGGCAGACTGAGGCTGAGGCTGAAGCAGGCTGAGGCTGAGGCTGAGGCAGGCTGAGGCTGAGGCTGAGGCAGGCTGATGCTGAGGCAGGCTGAGGCTGAGGCTGAGGCTGATGCAGGCTGAGGCTGAGGCAGGCTGAGGCTGAGGCCGAGGCTGAAGGCAGACTGAGGCTGAGGCTGAAGCAGGCTGAGGCTGAGGCTGAGGCAGGCTGAGGCTGAGGCTGAGGCAGGCTGATGCTGAGGCAGGCTGAGGCTGAGGCTGAGGCTGATGCAGGCTGAGGCTGAGGCAGGCTGAGGCTGAGGCCGAGGCTGAAGGCAGACTGAGGCTGAGGCTGAAGGCAGGCTGAGGCTGAGGCTGAGGCAGGCTGAGGCTGAGGCTGAGGCAGGCTGAGGCTGAGGCAGGCTGAGGCCGAGGCCGAGGCTGCAGGCAGACTGAGGCTGAGGCTGAAGCAGGCTGAGGCTGAGGCTGAGGCAGGCTGAGGCTGAGGCTG